AAGCGCCCGTGGCCAGGGCCGAACACAGGGCAGAGAGCCCTCCCCCACCACCTCGACTACCAAGGGCGCCCAAGTGCCGCCTCGGGACCTTTCTCGTCCCGGTGACCAAATGCCACTTCGAGGGAAGACCCATTCCATATCCTTGGAAGAAGTAGAAGATGAAGAAGCCCACTTACGGTCCGACATTCCGGTCACGAGCCCTAAACGACCCGCTTCCCCGGCGTTCTCGCTCACCGCCACTCCTAGCGACAAAAAGCTCATCGCGGAGATGTACTATGAACCCCATGGCATCCTTTGGACCCGAAGGGCATTACGAATAGCCCGAGGGGAGGAGGCTGCACGAGCCGTACTCAACGGATGGATACATCCACGAAGGAGAGGGGAGGTTGACGACAAGTTATGCCGTCAGTTGGAAGAACAGACGGAGACTGCCGCTCTAGCCCGAGAAAAGTGGCAGTGGATGGAGGACTTGCAGAAACCCCCCATGTATATTCACGGGAGGAAGGGACGTAATGTATCAATCCAAGTACAGTTGGAGACCTTAGACACCCGTGAAACGCATTCCCTCAAAGCGCTCGTGGACAGCGGGGCGACGGGTAGTTCCATAGACTGCGCCTGGGCCCAAAGTCACATGCTTAACCTCAAGAAAGCGGCTCGACCCGTTCCGGTGTACAATGCCGACGGCACCAGAAACAAGGGTGGCGACATCACCGAATACGCCGAGGTACGATTACGTATAGGAGACCACGTGGAACGGATCGAACTGGCCGTGGTCGATCTAGGTACCACCCCCTTATTCCTTGGACATGATTGGCTGCAAAGGCATAACCCACTCATTGACTGGAATACCGGAGCAGTCACCCTTGCTCGTTGTACCTGCTGCCAAATCCCCTTCTCCCTGCCGGACACAGATCCTTCCTCCCGATGGGATGAATACGAGGAAGGAGACACCATTCTAGTAATCGATTTCAAAGAGGCCTTTCATGCACGAGCCATGGGCACCAAAGCCAATGAGTTGGCCGCCCAAGCAAACGCGCGAAAGGAAACAAAGTCCTTCGAAGAAATTGTACCAAGTGAATACCGCGACTTTGAAGACGTGTTCGCCAAAGAAAACTTTGATGAACTACCACTGCGGAAACCCTGGGACCACGCCATCGAGCTAATCCCCAACGCTAATGCCAACCTGGACTGCAAAGTCTATCCTCTCAATCGTACAGAACAGGAGGAATTGGATAAGTTCTTGGACGAGAACTTATCTACCGGGCGTATCCAGCCCTCGAAATCGCCGATGGCGTCCCCCTTTTTCTTCGTTAAGAAGAAGGACGGCAAGCTTCGTCCAGTCCAGGACTACTGAAAGCTCAACGAAATGACCATTAAGAATCGGTACCCGCTGCCCCTTATTGGAGAGCTTATGGATCGACTGAAGGAGGCCAAGTATTTTACCAAATTGGACATACGGTGGGGGTACAATAACGTCAGGATAAAGCAGGGGGATGAATGGAAGGCCGCCTTCCGAACCAACCGCGGACTCTACGAGCCGCTGGTAATGTTTTTCGGCCTCACCAACTCCCCGGCCACGTTCCAGTGGATGATGAACGACATTTTCAAAGATCTCATCACTGCCGGGGAAGTGTCGGTCTATCTGGACGACATACTCATTGCCTCGAAGGATAAGAAGCATCACCGACATATTGTGCGTGAGGTGCTCCGAATCCTTCGGGAGAACAATTTGTTTCTGAAGGCGGAGAAGTGCGAGTTTGAAGTGGAAGAGACCGAGTACCTAGGGGTGCTCATTAGCGAAGGAAGGATCCGCATGGACCCCGTCAAAATCGCGGGCTTGCTAGATTGGCCCGCTCCGTCGAAAAAGCAAGAACTCCAGTCTTTCCTAGGGTTTTGCAACTTTTACCGACGGTTCATACGCGACTATAGCAAACACGTTCGACCCCTTACGATCCTCACTGGGAAGGCAGAATGGAAATGGGGGGAAGCTCAACAAACGGTGTTTGAAAAGATCAAAGAGTTGTTCCGTGAAGATGTGGTACTAGCCATCCCGTTGGACAAGGGAAGATTTCGAGTAGAGGCGGATTCCAGCGAAGGAGCGGTCGGAGCGGTACTTTCCCAATGGCAAGACGAAAAGTGGCGACCGGTAGCATTCCTTTCCAAGGCGCTTGCCACAACGGAGCGAAACTACGAAATCTACGACAAGGAGCTACTGGCAATCATGATCGCCCTCGATGAATGGCGCCAATATCTCATGGGAGCAAGGGAAGACTTCGAGATTTGGACAGACCATTCCAATCTTCAATACTTCCGCAAACCCCAAAAACTCAACCGACGACAAGCACGGTGGGTAACGGAGTTGGCGGAGTATCAGTTCACCTTACACCACAAACCGGGAGCCCAGAACCGGAAGGCAGACCTCTTGTCGAGGAGGGCGGATCACGACCAAGGCAAGGAGGACAATCGGGACATCGTAGTCCTCAAAGCGGAACATTTCAGGGCCCTAACCATGCCCACCACTGAAGAACTACATGAAAAGATCAAAATAGCCACTCACGACCCTCGCAGATGGGATAGAGGGATCTCCGACTCCTTGAATCACAAGAAAGGGGTCACCCGCGACCAGGACATGCTGTGGTATGATGGACGAATCTACGTGCCCATAGACCACGACCTCCGGGGGCGTATTATCGCCCTTAAACACGACCACGTCACTGCTGGTCATCCCGGCATCGAGAAGACCAAGGAGTTAGTGCTCCGGGACTACTGGTGGCCGAGGATGCGTCGAGACGTGGAGGCGTACGTGAAAGGGTGCGATGTCTGCCAGAGGACTAAGGCGGACCGTCGTCCAAAAAAGGCCCCTCTACACCCCAATGACATTCCAGTACACCCTTGGACCCACATTTCGGTGGACATGATCACCAAATTACCGAACTCAAGAGGCTTCGACTCTATTCTGGTCATCGTCGATCGTTTTTCCAAAACCATCATCCCCATTGCCTGCACCGAAGAGCTCACGTCCCTTGGATTTGCCAAGATCTTAAGGGACTATGTCTACGTACCCTACGGAGTAATGCCAGAAAAAGTCATCTCGGACCGTGGTTCAGTTTTCGTCTCCAAATTCATGAAGGAGTTCTACACCCTCGTTCACATTGAGGGAAACCCTTCTACCGCGTATCACCCTCAAACGGACGGACAGACAGAGCGGGTAAATCAAGAAATTGAAAAATACCTGAAGATGTTCGTCAACGACCGACAGGACGATTGGAGTGAATGGTTACCCTTAGCAGCTTTCACCCATAACAATCGCCAACACTCGTCGACAGGATACTCCCCGTATAAAGTAGTCTTCGGGAGGGATGGACAAACTATCACCACGTCCCAAAGACCAACGGTGGTCCCAGCGGCAGCAAGCCTGGTGACCGAGATTGAGAAGGCACAAAAGGAAGCAAAAGCGGCTTTAGAGAAAGCAGCGGAGTCGATGAAGAAGGCTTACGATAAGCACAAAGGCCAAGCGACGGAGTACAAACCAGGAGATAAGGTGTGGTTAGACACAACCAACCTGAGTCTCCCTCGCCCTACCAAGAAACTAGGGGACCGCCGCGTTGGTCCTTTCGTTGTCGTTGCAAAAAAAGGGGTCTCCGCCTACGAGCTAAAGCTACCCATGAAATGGAGGATTCACAATCGTTTCAATGAATCACTCCTAACTCCTTACGTAGCTCCCGTGTTTTCCAATCAACCCCGTCCCGAATGGCCACCACCAGAGTTGATCGACGACGAAGAGGAATACGAGATAGAAGAGATTGTGGAGCAGCGAGATAAGGCTATCGGTCGCGGTCGAAATCGATGCACCATAACCGAATACCTAGTAAAGTGGAAGGGATACCCAAGGGAAGAGAACTCCTGGGTCAAGCGTTCGGACATGGCCAACGCGGAAGAACTGGTCAACGAGTACGAAGCCCATCTTCAAAGGATCCGTTGGGAGGTCAACAAATATGGGAGAACGGTAGGGAGGGACGACAAAATTCCCCCAGGCATCGGAGTGCCCTACAACGATCCGAATTCCCCTTGCATCACGGATATTGAAACTGTCTGTTCGTCCGAATGCACGCACCCGAGGCATTCAAACTCACAACTTTCAATAAACATGCGAGAGGTCACCACAGAAGAAGCAGACGGGATACCCATAGTGGAAGAAACGTCGGACGACGACGACTCTAAACTCGACCTCGATAATCTCCAGCGAGTTTACGAAAACTGGGACTTCGATACTGATGACGAAGATCACGACGAAGATGACGATGAATTCTCGTTCTACTCTGAGTCCAGAGACTCTTCCGATAATAACGACGACGAAAACTCTAGTGAATCATTCGGAACGGATGAGTCCTAGAGGACTATTTATGGTGTAGAAGGGGATTTCCACTGCTCGATTACGAGCATTGAACCCTTAGGGATCGTGGATCCCGACAGACAGTTGAGGCCTAACCGGTGCAAAGTGGCTCAGGAAGTCTAGGGACCTGAGTCCAGGGGGAGAGAGGGTCAGAGGCCGAACCCAACGCAGTGACTCTTTTCGGGGTAGCGGAGGTCCAATCGATCCTGTTTTAAAGCAGAAGGGAGCCCCTCAACTCGCTTGTGAGGAAGGAAGGGGACATATTCTCATTCGGGACGAATGAGTCTTAAGGAGGGGGTAATGTTACGGTTATTCTTTTCTTTTTCTTTTTCTTTTTCTTTTCTTTTCCTTTCTTTAGTCAGCCGGATTACACGGCGCACGATCATCACGGACTGACTGCGCAGTAGTATTTTTAGAATACTCACGTGTATTTAAGTAGAGCCTCAGCTGGACTGAACCCCAGCTTCGGCTAAGGTTTATTCTACCTAACTTCGAACTCCGTTCTTCGTGACTATCTGTCCCATCGACTCCCGTCACCTTTGACTTGCTAAAGCGTCGTCTACCGAAGTGCGAGTAGCGACCTTAGTACGATCTAAGTCGATTTGAGTTAGTGGCTAACACCTTGGCACATTTGCTTGCTCTTCTGACCCCGCTTCGCTTTGGTAGGCATCCGCTGGATCTCAGCTTTGATGGTCTCTTCCTTTTCAGTATAAAGAGTCGCTTCTTGTAAACTGTAACCGCAGCTGTTGTCTGTGATAAACCTGAACCACACTATGGTCTTATTGAGGATCTCTTCCTCGGGCGTAAAGTTGGGCTTGTCCCTATGAGCCTGATCAAGCTGTAGTTGAAGGGCTGCTCTCGAGGCTTGTGTATGCGAAGTCTCCTTGATATGAGGACTCACAAATGGACACAAACGAATGCCTCGACCTGATCATGTCTATGAGTATGGGCCGCTGATTTTACCGGCTGTTGACTCACAAGTGCTATAGTCGACCAAACACGGAACCGGCTGGCCGTCTCGGTCCAACAGGACCTTAGTGAAATGACCTTTCGATTGTCCTGAAGGTTTCCCTGCAGAATATGCGAAATTACGAGCGGGGTTATACGGTTTATCAGTCGATTTCATATGAAGTATATACGCAATAGAAGTCTGCGAGTCGGGTGTCGTCTCAGGATATTCAATGACTTCCATAGACTTGTGGTGGTACACGGTTGACGCCAAAGTTCTCTGGTTTATACGGACATTGTGCTCTACTTTGAACGGCGTGACATCAGATGAAAATGAATCGGGCGTGTGGGACCCAGTACTTGAGGTTGGCGGTTTTGCGTCGACCGGATTGAGGAGCTCAGAGACGGATAGAACAGGCATGGTAGAGTGTGGAGACGATACTCAGACAACACGATACTCAGGACGGAGTGATTACTATCATTGGGGCAAAAAAACTGTAAAACAGTACAAAGTCAAGTTCGAAGCGATGAGAACGGCTCGAGATTCGTGCAGTATTTCTGGTTGTACGTAAGGAGCGATTGAGGTGGATGGCGAAACGTTTTGGGGAGAGTACGGGAGAATTCTCCAGCCTTCGATCATAAGTCGGCGAGCTTATTCAGTTTGTAGTCGGCGCTGGTAGTTAGGCCAGGAGTAACAACACGAGAAAGTACTGATGAACTACCCAGCCTTTGCCAATAGCGAGTCGGCGAGCCAAACTGAAGAGCTTATTTCAGTTTTCACTCCAGGTGGCGTTATTAGGTCCCTGAGGAGCGACACGAACATGTAACCAAGGCTGACTCCGTGGAAAGCCAAATTAAAGTACCCTGATTAACCTATTTTGCATCGGTGAATAAGTCGCTTGGCAAGATTGCTGCTAGCCGAATTTCGGATACCTGAATCTAAAAGACTGAAACATGGAAGGTTCGTATTATCCTATTCTGGTTGCATTGATATGTTCCCATATGATTACGACAATTCGAGAGAGAAGCATAGGGCAAAAAAAAACTGATATTGCAGACATCGACGGCGACATGTACAGTACAACGCAGCAAACAAACAATACACGAGTGAGGGAAAATGATCGAAGGAAAGATAAACAAAGAGAAACGATGCAGCAATTTTGAAATGCAGTAGCCGTAAAGTGGCGTTGTAACACCATAGCACCAATGAGGACACTTGTGCGCAACTGTCTCATATTGTCGCTGTCGGTAGTTGCCTGTGTCGAGGGGCTGAAGGATGGAAAGAACAGGGGACAGGGGACTGGGGATGGGGACGACAGCAATGGCAATGGTGGTGGTCAAAATGAGAGAGACTGGGGGACTGACAAACCAGTGATGGCGAAATTCGCGACTTCCCTGTCCGATTTCATAAAAGTGTAATCTTAAAAAGACAAATGCCAAAATCTAAAACATTTTGATTGCCATGCCGTACATACTTGGCAGTATACACATGTTCCGAATACGCTCTCCTGTCCCAAAATGGTAAGCGCATGCCATCACCGACGCAGTCACGGTGAGGTCACGCTCACGTTGGTGTGAGCTCATTGCCGAACCTTGCCGAGGTGAGTACGTGCTGTCCCCTGCCGAGGTCACGTAACGTACGGTACCGTACATCTATTATTAGTACAGGCACTTACTAGTACTTTACCTACTACACGAGCTTAGTGATATGCCGGCCCAGCTTAGGCTCAAAGCCGTGGCTTGGGCTCGGCTTTCACTGGCTTGGGCTCATCGGAACTTCAAGCCCAGCCTAAGCCGTCGAACAGGGCCCGGCTCAGGCCGGCTTGGGCTTGAGCCCGGCTTTTCAGTGGTGGTAAGTATATAACTGTAGGACTGATGTGAACATGGTTATATCATTGTTTCAGTGCTTAGCGACCTACCGGGGACCTGTTGGACTTCATCTAGGACAGTATGCGTCTTCCAGAGTGTGTTGAGACTAGTGTTGCCGCGGCTCAGCTTATCTCGGCTTAACACCGAAGTCGGTTTTGAGCCGTTTGCTCTGACTGCACCAACGTGCAAAATGACAGGTGTTTTGATGTTTTCATTCACTCAGGAGACTTATTGGTATTAACCGAAACTGTGTTCTTGTTCCTCCTACCCTTTTATCCTCGGCGGCTCAAAACCGACTTCGGCGTTAAGCCGAGATAAGCTGAGCCGCGGCAACACTAGTTGAGACTCCGAAAGAGTGTGGTTAACACATCAGAAAATATGACATCATACCTAGGGCCTGTTTCCGTGGCCACCATAGACTACGAAGATACTATATTTAGTCCGCAAAAAAAGTGTCTACTATTGGTGACAGTTATTGTGGCATCCCTACAATGCAGAGTGGGTGTCATATAGCTGAAATATCCATGATTCAGTGACTTACTTATGTATACAGAAAGCCTGGGGCTTTGGGCCGGCTTAGGGCTTTAAAAGTACCAAGCCGAGCCTTGAGCCCTCCAGAGCCGCCAATACGGCCTGGCACGGCTTGGGCTTTCAGAGGGCCGGCTCACGGCCGGCCTGGGCTTCAGCCTGAGCCGGCACATCACTAGATGAGCTTAGCGGGGCAATTATTTTACTCGAGCAATCTTCTTTGGAAGCTTCAAGATAAGATGCAGTGGTGATCCTAACTAATGTGTCATTGGCATCATGGTTAATGTGTGACCTTTCCGTCCCAGGATAGATACCGCACGGGCGTGTTTGGGGTTCAATTCCCGATCCATGAAATGGCATGAATGTGGTATTCCTATGTACCCTTTTTCTTCTAGGGTATGAAATTTGACTTAAAATCCTCTATGGAACTCTGAGTCTTCAGAACTCAAGAATCATTGAATTCGTGTATTCAACTGCCCTAATTTTTTGATATTTTGTTTCGGTTCATCATATCTTCTCGTTCATTGGTGATTGTACACTTGAATATCCTATTTCATATAAGTCTCTGTCTCTGGGATACGTACTCTACTTCGAGGTTTTTAACATATGTTGGTCGCGTTGCAGCTACCTGAAGGCTGACTGAAAGAAAGTTAAGAATAGCGCTGTACTGGGAATGAGATGTTCGAGTTATAACCAAAAAAGCCGTTCAGAGAACATATACTAATCAATAATATTCAACTCCCGCTTCCTAGCCTTGGCAAACTCATCCTTGTGGGTATTCCAAATCCTGGGTCATCGATCATTTATAACAATCGCTAAGTGCTCAGAGGAAAAAGAACACTTACCGCTGCAGTTCCGCGATGTAAAGAGTCTGGATGCGTCGAATCTCCTCGATATCTGGTTGATTGACTCGATTCACGTGTATAGGACGTCCGACTGAGGGAAAACTTGTCAGAATACCTATAATGGGGCACGCCACATGCAGATTCAAAGACTCACCGGCGGCAGTTATTCTCCGCCTATAGGGGAGTAGCCCGAAGTTGTCTAAAGCATACCTTGTCATCGGGCCGCCGGGGGAAAGAAACAGATAACCCACAGTTGAGCATCCCTCTTCCGTGGAACAGAGGCAAAGTAAAGCCAAAGATGGCAAGAAGTTTCTTCTGGAACATATAAATGGCAGTCCCCTTCTCATTGAGCATTTGCGAGAGAATCTGATGGATTTATTGAAATTTTTTTTAGTTGGCCGTATTTTCATAGGAAAGTAAAACCTACGTCGTTTTCTCCGAAGGAGAAGACCGTCACGAGGTCCGCTCTTCATGAATGAGTAAAATAAAAGTTGATTAAAAGATAAAGAGGACGACCCTTCCTGGATTGCAAGCTTGATGAACCCTAGCCTATGGATGATTTGAAAAAATCAAGTAGCAACAATAACGGTAAGACAAAGTACCGTTTACGAAGCGTCAAGTCGGCGGTTCCTGGATGAGCGCTCAGGCTCTCTGCAGCCTCTCCCACCACTATTGTAATAGACTGTCCTGGACCACTCTGCAGGATGTTGATGCACGACCTCTTACTCATGCTCCCCATTCCTAGGTGTATCATAAATTCCCGATAGAACGGAAGCTTGAAGTTGCTAGACAGAGTGAGGAGATGTGTTGTAATCCCAGGGAAAAGTTGGGAGAATCCGGTCACTAAATGTTTATCGAATGAAAAAAAAAAATGAAACAATGACGTCAGCTATGATAACATACTATCGGTACCAAAGTTTGCAAAAGCTCCCCTGGAGATGACCTTGAGCTTGGTGGGAACGTAAAGCAAACCAAAGTTGAACCGCAAACGTACGTGCCAATGATACCTGTTCGTAACCTGTTTGAGAATTTTTTAAAAATTCGTAGTGTCATGATGTCGACATACCATGAGGGTGATAACCAAAAATATAAGTGCGACTGGGCGGCAAGTCTGCCTCCTACAGTGTAATGGTCAGAGCCACATTCTCTCGTCAGCGACGGACCAACCTTCAAGCATCTGGAGGGGGGAAGTGTCAAAGTAGGTCCGAAAACGGAAGCCAACGTGCCGCCTCACGTAATAGGATAGAACGCCACGAAGTACCTCCACCATGAACACCGACGGCACCAGTGCCAGACCCGCCCTCCGTGCTCAGGTGACTTGTCGAGGCAATACACCCATATCATATAACAAGTAACGGGAGGCCACAACGGTGGAAAGGAACTGGATCCCCGTCAGCTCCGTCACCCCAAAATGCGATGCCAACGTACTACAGGAAGATGAACAGCGTGCAGCACTTGAGTATCAGGAAGGACCAGGAGGCTATCGCCAGCATTTCCAACCCTCTCTGGGCAGGTATCGAAGATGGAACGAAGCTGCAGGACGCTCATTTCAGCACACCATCAAAGCTCCCGAACAAAATGATACGAACTCGATATTGTCATGAAGCGATTTCTTTACAGTGGTAAACGGCGTCTTTGCGAACCCCGAGAGCCACTTGGAAAGTGACGGCTTCGACCGTGGTGGAGACTCCAGAGAGGGCTTCTTCGACATTTCCTTTGTTGTAGTTCCCAGTAGAAACCGGACTGCGGCAATTTAGGAAACTAGACTAGCAAAGTGAGTTCCACGTGACAATCTCTGCGTCAAATAGCGTTACTCGTAAAGCACATTTATCGCACAATTATTGAAGTATCTGATCGCCATGTATTCATCTCTCATAGAACGTACAAAAAAAAACAAATCACCGTCAGCACTATCCTCTGCGAAGCCTGCAGTTCAGGAGGCAGCACACGCTGTAGCACCAGACGACTCAAAAATGACTCGCTCTTTGTTTCCTTGAGTGATAAAGATCGACGGGCCGGATTTGAGCTAGCCCTCGACAAGCATGTACTTTGCTCAAACTCCTCGGTCATCCAGTAACGATTAGATGAAAGATCTTCGAAGAAAAAATCAAACCCTTCCCTTGTATCGCGTAAATCTCTCACACTTTCGCGGGAGAAGCTCTTCTTTTCTTAGAGAGCA